TTATTGTCTTCCTGAACACATTTTTAACTGTGCAGAAAAGCCCTAGGACTCCCACAAGCCATTCACAGTTTAAGTGCATTAAACTGAAAGGATAAATCAAGTACTTAGCAAGTGTATTTGTGTATGATCACAATGACTTTTGTGTAAGCATATATGGTACTGCCACATTATACAGCATACCATGGTTCCTAAAACGTTCCCAAGCACTTTCTTCAAGAGTTTTATGAATATTAAAATCAACACAAAAAGATATGCAAAAATCTCTTAAGTGAACTGAATAAAAATAACAAAATGTGAGATTTTAAAAAAAGCTGAATCTTTAGTTTTGACTAAAGCTTCGAAGCATAGGAAATGTAGAGCAGACATCCCAATAGCACCCTTTTTTACGAATTCCTTAAAGCCTCCAGGGAACAGAAGAAATAATAAAACACATGAAGGTTGCTTCAAAAGCATATTTTATGTTGATAAACATAAATATGTTCACCAAAGGAAAAGTTTGCACAACATAAGTTTGCATAAATATAACAGTTTATGTAGATGATACAATAGAGACAGTATAAAATACTTTGGAGTGTTGAGGATATCATATACGGACCATCACATTTGTGGTGTTAGGTTTTCTCTTCTCCTTTTTTTAATAAACCTTTATTTAAGCTTTGTTAGCCAAATTCTACCTCAGTTCTTTTGTTTCTTGGAAATGTCTTTGCTCTCAAAAGCACTGTTTGGGCATGACAAGCCACGCAAGTTTCTATATAATTTTGAAATACTTTGCAAGCTTTCAGACTCAGAGCCTCAGGGACAATTTTTGCCCAAATATTAGATGTTATTGGACCTTGTATGCTCAGGGTATTTCTCCAAAAGTCCTTTCCCAATCCTTATTCCAATCCCTATGAGAAGGAAACCATAGGTATGGAATCACTTTTTTTTTTTTTTTTCCAGTGAATCAGAAATGAATTCCTAGCATCACTAAAGATTTCATTTCTATGTGCAAATATATAAAATTATTACCAGAATAACTACTGTGACCTAGAAGTAGTGGTTAATCTGTAAAACGTGTTTTGTGGCTTGTTGGACATTTTTGAAAGTAAATAAGTGCTTGTTTTTCATAACAAAACGAGTGGTTTGCTACAGTTCGATGACTCAGGACAAAATAATGGACCTTGGAATCACTCATTGTTCTGTGCTGCCAGTGTAAATCTGGCCAAGATGCATAATGGCTGATAGCTCTTGCAAAATTAGTGTCTGCTCATTGCCTTACATAAAATACATACTGCCTGAGGAGACACAGCCAAGTCACAAATCTTGCCACTGTCATTGGTATCCATGCTGGCGATCTCAGAAAAAAGTCAGCTGTCTGAATGCAATGAAAAACGAGACGATGTCTCCAGGTCAGGACTGTGAGACAGATTGTTATTGAGAGCTTGAAGGGCTCCTGCATTTCCGTTTGGAGCAGCTAGAGGGGAAAATGAACTTTTAAGTTGGAAGTGGATCAGGTCCTGAAAAGAATTGTATTCTATGACTGCAAGTGACAGCAAAAAAGTGGACATAGTGACAAAGCAAATAGCTCCCCAGTTATCATCCTGAGTGCTATACTTCTTTTGTGTGTTAAAAAAAAAAAAAAAAATTAAAATTGTCAGAATTGTTGGGTAGGGCCTTTTGGTAAGATGAACTTCACAGTAATTTTTGCAGCAGCTGTTCCTTTATTATAAGGGAATAGAATGTGAAAAGGCAAATAATATTCATTCAGTTTGGTCAGTCAAACCGGCATTTCCATACAAGCATTTACGTAAACTTCTAAGGGCACTTTACTATCACATAGAAAGATTAAAAGCCAAGTCAAACAAACATATCTTGCCAAAAACTCAAAATCATATGAATAAGGACTAAGGAGTTCAGCAGATTTGGAACATAATGCTTTAACTAAGTCTTAGTCTCCAAATATACCTGTCAATATGGAGAAGAGATAATAAATTATCATAGCAGGATTGAGCAGTGCATGCCAGAATCTGAGAAATATGAAGGCTCTGGACTGTCCCCACATAGAGTAAGTCCATCTGTTAGGTTTATTTTGGTTTTTTTTTGGTGTAGGGATAACTGCAGTGCCTATGCTCAATGGAGCAGGCACTAGCTGATTGCTGGTTTCTTGCAGTTTCTTCTTTTCTTCTAAACCCAGAAGAAAAGCCTTTGAAGTCCTCAGAATTAAAGATGTGATGGAAGGTTAAAACCAAACCATTTTTTCAGAATGTTGATCATGTTCACTTCTTGTTCAGAGATGTTAAAAAAAAGCAGAGACACATCTTCCTGTTTTGGTTTTACCAGTTTCATGTGGGTGACACTCCAAGGGAAGGTGCAGTTTAAGCAGGTCAGACTGAGTCATTCAGCTGATGTTAGAAAATGTTACACAGCTTTGTGTTCTTAGACTGTGGGAAGTCTCCCACATGTACAATGCTGTGAGGTTTTTTTGCTTGTTTGGTCGTTTGGTTTTTAATAAAGGATAACAGAAGTTCTGCAAATGTAAATTTTTTTTTTTTGCACAGAAGCAATCTGAAATAGAGATGACATATGTGGGTTGAATTTCCAAACCAAAGAGTTCAGAGATCCTCCCCAGAAGAAATACTGTCTCAAGGGCAGTGTATATTTTGATTGTTTCATCTTCTGAAAGTTGCAGTTAAGTTATGGTATATGATAAACGGAGGGAGAAAAGTTTAGTGATGAACCCACAGAAGTCAATAAAACTTTTCCTGTTGACTGCAGTGGAAGCATATCCAGTACATATACCATTCGTGAATTGAATTAATAGTTCCTGAAAGCTCAGGCTGGCTGCTTAAAAGATCAAGCAAATAAAGAAATAAAGTCACATAAGCTGTTTCTGTGTGTAAAAAAGCTGTGGCTTACAGGATTAATTTTTTACAGTATATCTCTATATCCTGAATAACCAAGTAAGCTTTAACTTGTGGAATCTTAATAGCCATCTCATTGCTGAAGTCTAAAGGAAACCCAGAGGAAACTTAATAATATTAAAAGTTATTTTAAAGGGAGTTCACATTGGTTTGAAGGATATTTTGCTTCACACACAATATCCACCATTGTAAATTCAGAGAACCTAGATTTAAATTCAAAAAACTTCCACACATCCTTACAGCCCTCAGTATATAAATCTTATAGTATTCTTAAAATATCCACCAGTAAGGTATTAATCTTTTACAGATAAAATTAAAATTCTGAAAGTCATTGGAAGAATAAATAAAGAAAAATAATAAAAATATTCCCTCTAGAAATGAGGGGAAACTTGGAACTTTGCGGTAAGAGGCTAGTTTGTCCATGTTGCAATGAATAGAGAATAGTCTGTACAGTTTTTCATATCTGACTTGCAATAGAAGATTGGAACATATAGAAATTAATGTTATTTAATAGTAACTCAAACACATGAAGAATTAAAGAAACACAAGACTAAAAAGCCATTTAAAATGAAATCAGAAGCTTCAACAAATATATTTTTCCCTTGCAGTCAAAAAAGTAATTATCAAAATTGTTCGGAATATGTTGCCAATTACTCTGCTCCATAACTGCGAACTTTCTCAGTTCTTCTCCTGCCTTTGCTGGGCTCTCTGTCACTGGAAACATCTTAAACCAATTTAAAGTGCTACACCTGAATAAACATGTTGTAAAAGTGTTTATGTATTGAAGTGGGTCAGTTCAAGGTATGGTATTTGGCTGGAACTTCTAATTTCTCTTTTTACTGCAAAAGAGCTGCCAGAAGGAGGAAGTCTGAGCTGAATTAATACATTTGTTACAGTGGAAGTAGAATGGAAACTACTTCAACCACAAATCAAACTGCCTCTTTCATTTACGCCAGTGATAGAGTTTTTCTAAGAAATATAGACTCTGGCGTACAGCCACTATAAGTTTGTGTTTGAAAAGGAAACCGATATGCTTATTTCTATAAGGTTTACGCCTATGCTTATCTGCAAGTTCTTTTCAGGATGACTGTGTCAAGGGCATTAGGTGTTTGTGAAGTTGATGCTACCTCGTCACCCACGTAGCAAACTCTTCCCGTTGCTTCAGAAGAATTCCCGGGCACCCTGATGCCATGCAGTGCACGTGGTGCCTGTGTCCGTACCTTCCCATTAAAGGATCTCTGTGTCCCCCACCCAGCACAGCTGCACAGCTTCACATGACACTGTCTCATTTTCTGACGGTTGAAGGGCTCTGCAGAATACACGTATGCACAAAAGTGTTTATGCTGCCAAAATAAATTCTGTTAAGAGCAAGGGTTTATTTGCTAAAATGTCACTGATGCAGTTTCAGTGACTTGTTTTGCTTTCTTTTCTTTTAGTGAAGTTTAGATCCTATAATATACTGAGGTTACCACACAGTCCTGACTGAACAAATATTTTAAAGAAATATGCACATCCCCTGGGAACAGAACCAGAGTCAATAATGTACATATTTGAAACTCAGCTCTCTTGAACAACTGAATACCTTCCTACCTTTACTAATGAATGGATATCAGTCTGAGTAACACCGCACAATATTTATTTTTAAAGCAAAAGTATATTTATTATCTACACTTCTGTTTGCTGCTGATTTGCTTTGGGGATATAAGGTTCCACATCTCACACTCAGGTGATGCAAAAATGCATGACATTATCCTCTCTACAGCCTATAGTCTTTAATGGCCTTCATTTATTTTTCAGTTCTAGAGATGTGCATGTGAGACTGAATTAAAATATCTGTGTAACAAGTTATATAGCACAGAGAGACTACAATTTTTTACAGTGACAAACTATCCATAAGCTGTTGAAACTTATGTAAATTGTTGCATTTTTTTTTTGTCTTTTAAGTTCCATTCAACAAAATGTGGTTAGGTTTCTCAGTGACGGAAATTCAGGATTATGGGCAAAATCTTTGCCATGTCACAGTCAGCAGCTGAGTTTCTACTGTGGCTTCAGAAGGGGCAGAAGTTCATGTTTTAACCTACAATTTCCATTACTTTATAGGTCGAAGTATCAATGTTAAATCTGCTGGCCTGATTGGACGACATGGGCCTCAGTCAAAGCAACCATTCATGGTTGCATTCTTCAAGGCAAGCGAAGTGCTTTTCCGCTCTGTCCGAGCAGCCAACAATAAGAGGAAAAACCAGAACCGCAATAAATCCAGTAGCCATCAGGAGTCATCTAGGATGCCAAGTGTTGCGGGTAAGATGAACCTATGATTTACTAGCCTGTTTCTTGGAGTTCACAGAATCACAGAACGGTTTTGGTTGGAAGGGACCTTAAAGATCATCTAGTTCCAACCCCCGGCCTCAGGCAGGACACCTACTAGACCAGGTTGCTCAAAGCCCCATCGAACCTGGCCTTGAACACTTCCAGGGATGGAGCATCCGTAACTTCTCTGGGCAACCTGTTCCAGTGTCTCACTGCACTTATATGGGTACCTGCTCAAATGCAGTGGAGTCACAGCAGCTCAACAAGACACTGCTCATTGGCTGAACTGTCAGAAACTGTATTTCCACTCTATTTCTGCCTGGCCCTTAAAACTCTTTTTTTTATGTAGGCCCTGAGCATGATCTACCTTCCTGTGATGTAGATGTCTAAGGTAAATGACTTAGAGATGCACATGTTCTGAGGACACTAGCTTTTAAAAAGCCTCTGACATTTTTAAGGTACCAGGGATCTCTATTTACAGCTAGATTTTGTTTGGCATTTTTTTGAGTATTGTAAAATTTTCTGATATTCTGTATCACTATACAACAAAAGCTCACCTGCACAATTAACTTCTAACCCCTTATCAGTCAATATTGTAGGAAACCAGTTATAAGTAAATAATGAAAGAAGTCCCAAACTGGACAATTTTATCTGTTCATTAGTAGAAAAACAAATTACATATCTATAGCAGAATGGCATTTTTAAAATTATTTATAAATTATTTATTTAGAAATAATTTATAAATAATTTAAAATCATTATTAATCATTAAATAATTTAAAATCATTTATTAATCATTATTTATAAATTTATATTGACTAAACATTCTTTTCTCATTAACTGCTTAAAGCTATTCTGATTCTTTTGCTACGACGTTAAAAATTGACTTAGCCTCCATGCGTATCAGTTAGGCCTGCTAGCTTGTGCTTTCTATGAATTTACTTTGGACAATGAATTGAATTTGCATTTTCTATAATTCAAGTGTGATCAGCTTTTTTTCTGCAGAAACTGTTCCTTCAACTTTACTGCCACTGTGTGATGCACTTTCCTATTTTCATAAAGGGGCTTTGAACTGAATGACACAACACAAGCATTTTCTTGTGGTTGGTTTGTTGGTTTGTTTTAAATACAGTCAAACATGCAACTCTGTTAATTCCAAAATACAATCTTTTACCTCAAATATAAGTAATATTCTGCCTGCACAAAAAGTATTTTAAAAAGATTTTTCATATTTCCTGGAAAATGTCTACTAATTTTGATAACCACATAATTTGGAGGGAAAGGAAAATCACCTAAGTACATACATATATATATGATAAATATTAACATGGTACTTTCAGATTGAATGCTATGGTTCTAGTCTGTGAGGAAATGAGAATGGAATATATTTGTTAAGCCTCTTTGGTTATAGCAAGAAAACTGAACACAAGGTCCTTGATGGTTTAACGTGGAAAAACTCAACCTTAACACACGCCACCAAATGCAGTGGCATGAGAATTACCTCAGGAAGAGCTGTCTGTATGTAGCAAACACTGGTCAGCCTCATCCATGCATACAGCCATGCTCCAGAGCTGTTGTAAAACAAGAAACATGAGAACACCTCTAGCGAAATGTACATTATAAAACAAATTTTCTCCAAACATTTTTAAGACCCAAGTCTGCATATTCATAGAGGTGCACCACTATATGTGTTGATCCATGCTAGGTCTCTGTAGTTTTGCAGATTGAAAATTGCAGATTGAAAAATAGATTTTCAGATTGCAGTTGAAGAAGACCGTACTGTTAAAATTAGTTTAAGATGCAATTGCAGATGCAGTTGCATCAAAAGCAGGGACAGTGATGTCTAACTGGAGATGGAGGCAGCAAGATATGGGCAGGCTGAAATAGGTGGCAAAGTTGAAGGCACGTAAGTAACCACAATGTCACACAGAAACTTCCTCTTTAGCACAAGTGCTTGGAGGAGTAGCTCCTGTGCCACAGCAAATCAGCTTTCACACTCTTGCTTTGCAGATTGTCACAACAGTCCCTGTATCACAAATAAACAACCTCCTTTTATTTGGGTACCATTAATGATCAGTGATGCGACTTATAACACTATAAGTGCTTCAAAACACTTTTAATAACTATTGCAACAATACTCATTAAAATCTGCAGATGAGCACACTGATGGCATAGGCAATGTGCGGATTGTCTCCAGATGGTCCAGCATGCAAAAAGAGACACAATGGAGGGAACACATTCTTACTTCCCAGACCTTTGTGTCTTTGCAGAACACAGTCCTTCCATGGGCAGAGCCTGTTATCAGGGAAAAGCTGTGACCTTTTCCTCCTATTCACCAGCCCCAAGAACTGCAGGATATGCTGCATCCTTGCAGGCTTATTGTAGAAGACTTATTCTCCTAGTTCTCTACAGCTTCCAGTAATGAGCAGTGCTTTAGAAGTATTGTTCATCTCTTCATATTTAAACCACAGAGAACTCCAAAGAATTCTGCCCGTCATCTTCCACTTGGTGGACTGTCGATAAACCATATACAATTCTCATTCACTCCCTGATGCAAGACACCGTTGACATAAATGACAAAGTGATGGGCAAATCTCATTATGTGACACAGGTCCTTGTTTCCAAGGTCGTTCCAATCTAAAGCATCTAAATCAGATATTGACAGTGAAATATGCTCATTCACATAGCCAGATATTATGTAGCTAGATAGGTATGCTGTCATTTATAGGTCACAGGCTTTGGTTATACTTCTCTCTGTACATCAATCCTAACTTTTTTGCATGCCTTCCTTTCCTCCTTGTTTTTTTCTTCTTCCTTTTCAATTTCACAATTTCATTTTGTCCCCTTCTATTCTTTTTTTTTTCTTTTTTTTTTTTTTCTCCTTCCTTTTGCCCTTGCCTTTTGCGGTCTTAGTTTTGCCTCTTGCCCCTTGTCTTTTGCCTTCTTCCTTTCCAAATTCTTGGACCTCAGCAATTAGCTTTACTGTATTCTAAGAATGTCAAAAAGGAAAGCCCCATTGGGCAACTCAGTTCTTCCTTTCCAATGGATGGCACCTTTTAAAATTATTCATTAAGATATACACAAACCAAACATAAAGAAAACCTGTATGTATCAGTTATTTTAGCAGCTGATCAATTTTTGCCGGATTTGGTTGCACTGGTAAGAAATTCAAGAGATGACCTCACTGCAGTGTAAAGACAGAAATAATTAAATTTAATATTCAGACTCCATCTGCCTGCTATGCACAGAGGATTGAACTGTTTGTTACTTACCCAGTTGTATTTTTATCAAACTGTAGATAAAAGGAAAAATAATTAAAACAAATCAAAACAAGACAACTTGTTCCCAAGGTCCATCACATAACTCTTCCTCAAAGCAAAAGCTGGATTATTTTTTTAATTTTTTTTAACATAATCTAAAAGGAGTTACAGTGTAACTGAGCAGTAGAAGATATCCACATTTAAATTCTTAACAGTGACTTATACCAGGAAATTAAAAGACATTATTTTTGTTCATTATGCAGTGAAATAAAACCAGAAAATGGTACTATGTGTTTCCTGTATGTGTTGGTGTCACACTAATTAATTAAAAACTCAATACTTTGTGATAGTATTTATAGATATGTCTTTATGTCCCTTGCATAAAAATAGCCCAACAAACAAAAAGCTCTCATTGTTACCTTCCTTCGACAGCTCCTTCTGTTATGTCAGGGTTTAGACTGCTGAGGAACAATGATTTATGAGACACAATAGCTTCGGGCTTTGGTCTTTGCCAGAATGAGCATATAGGCCTCAAAGCTACAGCATGTGAAATAGAATCCTTGGCATCATATCTTGTTATAAATATCACATTTTAAACTTATATGAAATGTTACATTGCAGACAACATTTGACTTACATGAAAGACAGAAATCAAGGAAGGAATACAGACTTGCCCAAGGTGTATGGTCTTTGTAGGTGTATGGGTTAGTTGGTTTGCAGATAAATGTCTGCAAACAAAATGCAGACCATCTTATCAGGTGTTGTGGTGTGACTGCTCATTCACCACTGGTTAACCTATGTTCAGATAAATCAAAGTTATCAAGACAATGATGATATCTATATGATGACTTATATATTTATTATCCAGACTTTCTCTTTTAACTGTAAGGACTTCTGACACATTCTAGTGCTAAAACTTCTGCACACGTTCTTAAATATGAAAATGTCATGACTGAAAGAGTACTGGCAAAAACACAATCTTCAGCTTTTGTTTGTTTGTCTGCTTGAGTGCTATCTAAAACCAGATTGTAACTTTCCTGACTTTCTGACATGTCTAAAATTCATGCAGATATGGTGCTTAGGGACATGGTTTAGCAGTGGACTTGGCAGAGGTTGGTTAATGGTTGGGCTTGATGATCTTAAAGGTCTTTTCCAAGATAAATGATTTGATGATTCTCATATGTATATCTTTCCCACATTTTTCAGTCAGAGGGTTTTTTGCAAAGTGACTTGCATTCTGTATGACTGAATTTAATTCCCACTTATAGTGGAAACAGAAATTGGTCTGATATTAGTCAATCATCAAACTAACACTAATATTAGTCAAAATCAATATATACAGATCCTTGTAAAGAGTCATCAGTGAAACACAATGAAAATTTTTTTAAAAAAATTAAGGTTTCTGCTACCTTCACTTTACTTCCAATGTGTGTCCAGGACATACTAGATTACTAGAGACAACTCAGCATAAAGTATGACTAAGGGGGCTTGGTTATATTAAAAACATAGATATTTGAAAACCTGTGATGCCTTTTGTCCAGTGGCTAGTCCAGAAAGACATAGGACTCCCATAGGGTGTGGGATATATTTAGGCCCTACATGCTCTGGGGCAACTAAGTGTTTCTGAGATGGCAGCAGGTAGATAATGATCTGTGAAGAATCTTTAATGACTGTCATTGAGCCTCATGAAGGGCTAGGGAAATACCACAGGAAAGCAGGTAGTATTCATCTTTAAAAAAGAATGAGGATTTGAGGTATTATACCTTAGAAAGCCTAACTTAACGTCTTTGGTGGTATTAGAACAAGCTATTTGGTACTGCAGATGGATATATCTTGACTTGTGTGCAGCTTTTGGCATGGTTTCAGGAGACATTTTGGGGTCCAGGTATATTTGATAGAAGACAGGAACACAGCTTGTTAAAAAAAAAAAAAAAAAAGAAAAGAAAAAAGAAGAAAAAAAAAAGGAGAAAAGAAAAAAAACAAAAAAGAGCAAAGAGTAAACTTCAGGTAGCTTTTTTGAATGACATCTCCTTGAGTCTCTTCTGGATCTGATTCAGTCCAACATTTTTCTGGTAATTTGGACGATTTATCCCTCCTCCCAGATCAGGTATCTTCTGTAAACTTGCAGAGAGCGTAGTCTCTTCATTGTCCAGGTTACTAACAAACACATTAATCTGTATTTGCACCAGTACTGATGATCCTTTAGGGACAGCCCTAGTAACCAGCTGCCAGCTGGACATTGTACCACAGATCACAAACCTTTGAGTTCAGCAACCCAACCCATTATATTCTTTACCTGTCCAAACCATATCTGACCAATTTGGCTCTAAGAATACTATGGAAGACAGTATCAAAAACCTTCATAAAAGCAAAGTGAACAACACCTAGTGCTCTTAGAAAGCACACAAAACTAGTCAGCACATCAAAGAAAACAAATAGGTTGGTTAGGCACAGTTTGAATGAGTAAATCCAAGCTGACTGTTCCCAAACACCTTCTTCTTCATGTGCCTGAACACAGTTTCCAGGAGAATTTGCTCCACAGACATCCCAGAAAGAGAAGTTATGCCGATTGACTTTCTTGAGGACAGGTGTGTCATGTTTCATTTTTGAATCATCAGAAATATCCTCCAGTCACTATGAACACTCAAAAATGGCAGGAAGTGACTGCAATAACGTTGGTCAGTTCAGTCCTCACCCTGAAATTCACCCTTTTTGCTCACATGGACTTGTGTATCTTAATTGGCTTAAGTGATTCCTAACTCTATCTTGTTTACCGTAGGTAAAGTTTTGGTCACTAGGCTCAGGGACTTGCAAATCCTGAGGATAAATCTGGCCATTAAAAAATATGACAAAGAAGGCATTGAGTATCTTAATCTGTTCTGACTCCTTGTCTAGGTGAGAGACACAATGGATCTGTTTTTTTTTCTTAGCTTTTCTTTTTGCTATAGATGTACCTATAGAAGTCCTTCTTGTTGAACTTCACATCCCTCACAAGCTTCAAGTCCAGCTAAGCTTTGGCTTTCCTAACATCCATCCCTGTGTGCCCAGGCAGTGTGTTTATATTATTTCTGTGTAGCTTCTCCCCATTCCATGCTACTTTTATTTCCTATTTGAATTTCAGCTCAGTCAAGAGTCTCCTATTCAGCCACAATGGCTTTATACCATACTTGCTTGACCTGCAGATGTGAGTGGTTCTCTCAGAAGTTGTCCTGGGACATCAGCCAGGTCTCCTGGTCTCCGTTGTCCTCCAGGCCAGTCTGCCGTGAGATCATGTAAAGAAGATCTCTTAAGAAGTTGAAATCTGTTCTCAAATTCCAGTATTGCAATACTGGTTTTGATCTTGGTCATCCAACACCCTCATCCCCAACATGTTATTTATTCATTGAGCTGCTTAAATATAACATAATCCTAAGGTGACTAGGCAGGAATATATAAAAAAAATGATGTGAAGCTGGTTATTTGACAGCATGATTTTGCTGCAAAACTCCTATTCTGAGATCTACTGCTAGAAAATAATCCAGAAATTGTAGGAAATAATTATTTTACTTTATTTGGCACTGTAATCAGTTTTGGCCATCACATCTTCAGAAAGACACAGAAAAACTGAAGAGAAACAAGAGAAGCAAGGATAGTGCAGATCAGGACAGGTGACAAGATGTTGGTAACTTTGCAGAAAAGTTCCTTTAGGAGAGATACTTGGAGGAGTTTTCTGCAAAGATAGTGAAGCACTACAGCAGGTTATCTCACAAATTGAAGAACTCTCTTCATTTCATTTTATGTGAAAAAGGCCTCTTCCTTAGTTTTCCAGGAATTTTTCAGCAGAGGCCCTCCCATCCCATTCTCACATCTTTTAATGTCAAAATACTGTTCCTAAAAAAAAATTCTATTCCTGAAAATGAAGGTTTTGTTGATTTTTCACTGTCTTCTTGGTTGTTTGTTTGTTTTGTTGTTTTTTTGTTTTTTTTTTTTTTCTGTTGTGAATTTCAGCCAACTTATTTTTTTATTTATGCCAGAATGGTTATTTTGGTCTGAAAAAGTCATTTCAAGCATTCTTGAAATGGAACCAGAGGAGACAGACTGTCCTCCCTGCTCCATCACATGCCTCACTGATGGCATCACTTGAATAACACTATAAACCACCTCTGGAGTGTTAATGTGGTAAAGGCATGGCCCTATTCCTTTACTTTCCTGTTACTCAGCAGAAATAAGCAACAAGCAGTAGATTTTCTCTAGGAATCAGATTGTCCTGGAGAAGCATGTATGAAAAGTTCTCTGTGTCCTTCTGTCATGACATACGTCTGACAGTGCAGAAACATTCAGGCCTTTAAAAAGCATCTGTTAATCTACTTGTTTAAATTGATATTACCAGCTAAGGATCATCAAGTGGTGAATATTTCCAGAAAATATGGTAAAAAAATGAAATACAAAATGTGTTAATGTTTAAAAAATGACTTTTGGAAATTCTGTTGTTTCAGGACAATTTTTATCATTGTTAATTTACCTTTTGAACTGGGCTGCTTTCTTCATCTGGTAATTAAACCTGTGAGAACATATAGATGACTTCCCTGTACCTTGTATCAGACTATCATTTGATGTCCTTTGATTACCTGTGTGCCTATTATCAGAGTTGCTACCTAGTTAGCCGGCAACCAGACATCTTGTAAGCCTGTTTCCTCTAATGCTGTATGCATCGTTTTGTCTGTGTACACAAGTTGGATCAGGCTGACAGTGCTGATTCTGCATTTCCAACTTTACACTGCCTTTAAGACAAGCCCTGGAAACAGAAATTACATTATGCTTGTTCTTTTTCATTGCAAGGTTGGTCAGGAGCTCAAGAGTAGCTAAATCTTGTCAATTTTAGCAATGTTTCTAAACAACTTATTATCTTCTTCCTGTAGATTATAACACAAGTGAGCAAAAGCAAGCATGTAAGAAACATGAACTTTACGTGAGTTTCCGAGACTTAGGATGGCAGGTATGAATATTCTAAATGATGTTTCCTATCTGTTCAACTTGGGAGAATCTGTTTCACAGTTCCTCATTATTTACAGTCTGTTATAGTCATGGTAATTGCTGTTTCACTGATGAGATACAAATTCTTTAAATACATTTTGTAATGAATCCCTATTACTGATGCTTTATTCTTTCAGAGATTTTGTATACGTTAATGGCTTTATGATCAGGATTCATTCACATACAGATAAATCCAGACTGTTACTCAAGAGATTAATAGTTCTGCAGTAAATGAAACCAAAATCCCCACACTGTGCTATGGAACTTTTGAAATTTGCACTTGAATTCTGCCCAATTCAGTGCTGTCTACTGCAGGTCAGAGAGGTTTCACAGGAACTAGAGCTTGGATCATTGCTCAGTGGCCTTTATAACCCCTTAGCTATGTTTATATAATTTCTGGGAAAAACTCATTCTGCCACACAGTGATAAAAAAAGAATGTACTTATAGTAAAAGTTTCTAAAGTCAGAGGCAGGGCATTATGAGAAAAAAAAATAAAGTTCTATCTAGGTTTTCTTTCCAGAAAGTAAGGAGCTCTCTATAAAGAAAGAACAAGAAGGCCATCAGCAACCTATAACCTAGACATATTGCATATGTAGGTGAGAGCTCAGAGACACCTGTCTGTGCATTTCACATTTATATGAATTGTTTTAAAATAAATCTTTATGAGCAGAACATGTCTACAAAGAGAAAAAGTGTGCTGCCTCTGAAGTGACAGCTCATGCTTTACAGATCTAGCTCAGATTCTCATACAGCCTCATTACTCTGCCTGATACTTTATAGTATATTTATCCTCACAGCAGCCTGAAGAAGTAGGCAGAGACTGTTTTCCCAAGACTGCAGAGCATAATCACCCAGAGCAGGCTTGTGGTGCTGACTTGAATTCAGCCTACTAAACAAGTGAGCCATTGTCTCTCTCTAGATCACAGATTTTTCCAGGTATCAACAGGTTTTTAGGGTTTTTTAAACAGCAAATTCTGATATGCCCCAAGGTGTGCAAGGCTCTCAGATCAGTCATTCAAAGCGGCCATAGGGAAAATAACTTTTTTTTTTTATACAAAAAATGTTTGAAGAATTCAAGGTTTCAACTGGAAAGCCAAAGTTACACTGTACAATATTTGACCAGTGAAACTCAGGGTGAAATGAGATAAAAAGAAACAACATACAAGAATTAGCTACTTCATCCTCTCTGTCCTTCCCATACCACCTCCATCACCTTTGCCTGGCAAAGGAGGAATTTGGCAAGCCGAACACATAGCTTTCATTAACATTTTAAAATATTTTCCCTCTTGTGGTCTTTTCCCCATGCTGTTTTGCTAAAGATCCTCAAAATGCATGATTCAGTGACGTTCCAAAAGGTAATCTCTAGCAGCTCTAAGTCTCATGCAGTAATACAATTGATGATATTGAGTATGATGAAGAAAAAGAATGCATTTTAATTACTTTTGTTGCATTCAAGATTTTTGATCTCGGAAGAAAAGCATTCTGACAAATGCACGTGGACTTTTAATTCCTCTTATGTCCTTATTAGTTGATATTCAGTATAGATTTCTAAGTTTAATCTTCATCTGCGTTTTGCATGAAGAAAGCAAATATTTTTTTTCTTGTTTCTTTGTTTTCTAAAAAAAGTAATTTAACATGCCACATTCTGAAATTCATTATGTCTTTGGACAACTTTTAGTTTATCTTGACATGGTTTTAAATTCTCTGAGTAAAAAAAAAAGAAGTGTTTGTATTTGTTCTTGTTTTAGGATTGGATTATTGCGCCAGAGGGCTACGCTGCGTTTTACTGTGACGGAGAATGTTCCTTCCCCCTCAATGCCCACATGAACGCAACAAACCACGCCATTGTTCAGACTCTGGTATGTCTCTGCCTATGCTCTAGTTGACTTTTTGTGGTTGTAAGTGACTTGGCGCAGGCTGTCTCTTCCTCTCTGTTCACTATTATTGGATTTTGACTATTTCTGGGTAAATGATAACCCATTTCAAAGACATGCACTGACGATTATGATGGATAGAGGATGTAGTGTCCAGAGTGGCCCGTGTGGTAGGTTTCCCTTCTGTTTCAAATGCAATAACACATGTAAAGACTGTGTCATATTACTGGAGAACTGTGTAGACAGGAACAAAAGGGGCCCCCTCATCCCATTTCCAAGAGCTTTTTTGCAGCTTATGGAAGCTCCATGTTAACGTCTACATGCTATTCCTTCCAGAAACGTTGACACTTGGCCACTCTGTGGACCTCCATTGTCAACTGTTGGCAGAGATACTTAAACTGTAATTTAATGTGAAGCTTTGCAAGCAGATGCATTTGCGTGTAAGAAATCGTGTTCAGTCATGCCTGGCTAACAAACGCAATTTATAAATGTGTTTGGATCTGTTGCTCTGCCTGGTACATGTAAAAGGGGATTTGCAGCCAGATTTCTGCCTCTGCTAGTTCTTATGTTAGTCCTTTGCATCAGCTGGAGCGGCCAAAAGGATGATCTTACTTGAAGCAGCTGGCTAGGCCTCCTCTACCCCAGAAACATTCAGTTACAAAAATTAAGACTTTTAGACTATGCCTAAATGTAATGCTGTGAGTCCAACTATCTGGTCATGATTTTTTCACCTGTGCCAGATGAAGAACTAGCTCTGAACAGCATCAGTATTAGCAGGATGATTAAGAAGTAGAGGAATGAGAGACAATACATAAGGAGGGAGTGGGAGTACCAAACTAGAGCAGTAAAGAGTTGCCATCTCTAGTTTCTAGAAAGGTCAAGACACCTTACTGCAGTAACAGAAACATGGGTTTAAGGCTCCCTCTGATTTAAACTGATAACAGGGAAGTATCCTGACCATCAGACTATGCTGATGCATTGGACCATCAATAGTGAGCCTTGCCTTTGATTTTTGACATAAAAAATCTGGGTGTGAAAAAATCTTTTCCTTTTCAGAAATAAATGCAGCTACTACCCCCCTGAGCACTCCCCTCCCCATCCAAAACCCTACATCAAAAAAAAAAAATCCAGAAACAAACAAATAAATCAACCAAGTTTGATTTCTTTCAGACAAAAAAAATAAATTCTGCTTGTGAAAATTGCCAAATATTTCTACATGACAGTGATATTTTTAAAACCTCAGCAAGCGCTGAGAACTTTTCCTTTCTATTCAGCTCTTCCTTTATGCACCTTCTCCAAATCCAGCCCCCAATGTAACATTATTCATCTCTACCAGAATTTGACTCGGCAAGATTTACAAAAAGAAGGGAAAATGTCAGAGGCTGGAAATAAACAGAAGTGTGGTAAGGGGTTCAGGCGAAAGGGAACAGCAAATGCCAGTTGGCAAGGAACATAGCAATGTGCCTAGGAGATGATGAAGAACAGTATATATGCAGTCCCGAGCTCAAAAGAAATAGCTCAGCAAAGGAATAGTTTAGCATTATGCAAACATTGTCCAGAAAAGTTGTCAGTATCAGTGAGAACCCCAAGTTAGAGTTTTCTCCTGCACTTATGGACTGTAAAATAAGAAGTGGCCAGTGCTGCTTTCTCTTGTGTGTATATCCTTTCCAAAAATGGTTAATTTCCTGTTGTTCAGAAATTTGTGTAGTTTGGTCTATTTTTCAAATTGGATACTTAATTTTTTCCCTCTTTTTTATGGCCTTTTTGGAATTGTGTGTCTCCCTCTGCATGTACTGTACATGCATTCAGTTGTGCAGCCAAAAAATCATGAGGCTAATTAAATTTTAACTGAACATAAATTAGATGAGATAACAGTAGTTGAATGCTTTCTGGTTTAAATTATACAAAATTCAGATTTACACAAGGTGTGCACATGGGGATGGCTTGGGAAACAATTATTCATACACCCCACCCTAATCCAAATGTAATCATCTCCCAGCCATACTGATTACACCATTCTAAAAAAGCCCACTCTTTGGGTTGGGAAGTGATTGTTCCTTGGTACCCCTCCAAACTTTCCTGACTCTTGCTTTTTTTTTCTTTTGTAACAAAATAGGAGAAATACTGGACCAGTGCCTCTTTGTCTCTTCTTTTTCCGAGACTGAACTTAGGCAGACAGATGATAAAGAGGTATAAAAATAAAAGACAGATTGCATTTAATGAATTATCATAGAATTATAAAATCATAATGCTTTGGGTTGGAAGGCACCCTTAAAGGTCATCTAGTCCAATTCCCCTTATATAAGCTGTCTTCTCTTTTGCTTCCCATCACCCTCAGAACAGGCATTGGAGTAGCATTGACCTCCTGGACATGTGAGTCAGTGGATCAGCAGGTTGACTCACACTTCCAGGCTCCCTCTCGAAGGGGCTGTGAGCACCACTGTCCTGCAAGGCTAGCAGGGTCATGGAGCTCCCGGCCTGGATGGCAGGGACTGGTGGAACCAGGAGTTATGACAGGACAAACATCTGCCCAAAGAAGGCACAATTATTCCTTTTTCCAGTGCTTTGCTATTCATTTGTTAAACTGTTTTTAAATGTGTGTCTAAACCCTTACCAAACTGCTACTTCAGGATTTATTATTGCTCATTTCAAAAGACCTTCTCATGGTAACAGTTATGTAAAAATCGTTTCCTGATAGACTGTTCTCTGTTGTCTGGCAAAGGCTCTGGGCTTATATCACTGCAAGACAGATGGCTCTAACAGATTTACAAAGACTTAAAACACAAATGAAACTTATTACTGCTGAAGTCTTCATCCATGCCTTAATAATCTCTTGCCCTCTCTGTTACAACTCCCTCTCTTCTGGCTTCCCCAGTTTCCAAGTCTTCAGCATGCATAGAATATTACATCCAACCTTCTTTCAAGTACAAAGAACTTCTATTTTCCCCATTTCAGATATTTCCAGTAGATCTTATTCGTTCTGGGATGCTATTCAAAACTCTTTTCCTTCTCTTTAACCTTTCATTGATATATTTCAGCCTAGTGAACCTAAAGCCTTCTCTGCCCCAGCCCTTTCCCCAAGCCGTCTGTCCAGCTGGCACCCATCTTGCGAATTGATTTTGACTTCAGTGGAAGTAGAATTGGATCCACAGATACCTAGATAAGACCTTAAAATGCACTCATGCTGTCTGAGAACCCTCATCTTACCATTTCATAGGCTGAAAACAGTTTCAGTATGAGCCTTTGCTTGTGCAACCTTCGCTGTCTGCAGCAGACTTTCCTCCATGCTGAGACCCCGACACAGGAAAGCATTTTAGCACATGCCGGGGTCCCAGTGAGACCCAGCACTTGAGCCTGTGCTTCATGTTAAGCACTGTCCTTAGCAGAGATGGTACTAACAATATGTTTAAGTGTTTTCCTGAGCAGCCGCCTAACTCCAGCTCTTTACTAAATTTCATCTGAAAACCAACGTTCTGTCTTGGCTGCTCTTCCTCGTTTGTCTCTCCATCTGCTATTATTGTGTAACTCTGACCATGCAATTGAAATCAGAGTGCAATATTCTGGAGGTAAGATGTGCTTTAAATTTGCTAACCAAGGAAAATCTGTGACCACAGCACTCTGAATTGCAAAGACGTGTTTTGCACTGACATTGTCCTTGTACCTCTCTGTTTGATATATGAGCTATGTATTTCTCTCTCTTTCAGGTTCACTTGATGTTCCCTGATCATGTACCAAAGCCATGCTGTGCACCAACAAAACTGAACGCAATCTCCGTGCTCTACTTTGATGACAGTTCCAATGTTATTTTAAAAAAATACAGAAATATGGTGGTGCGTTCATGTGGCTGCCACTAGAATAAAAAAAAATAATCTAAAGCAGAGGGTTTTATTCAGAGTTGTAATAAAGTCAAGATATGAGACTTGCTGATGAAAAGGCAGTCCTAAATTTATTCCATTTCATGTCATCTCTCATTTAAATGTACAGTATAATGTATATAGTAGCTTTTATTTATTTTAAAGTATATAGTTTCTTTTGTATGAGAACCATTTATTTTATGGGTCACTTCACTATGCAGTAGAATTTCACAAGCTAATTGACCATACTGGAATCTATTTCATTCCATTTCAATATTTTAAAGTAAAGCCTTTGTGTAGATTTTTTTTAAAGCTAGAAACTCCAGAACTTCTGTGACTGCTTCATATTGTTAAAGGAACTAAAATACATTTGGTCGTATTGTGCCAATGAAAACTGTGGCGGGATATTTATTTAGAAAAAGGCACAGAAAAAAAAAAAACGCTAAACAAAACCGCTTGTCTAAACATATTTTTTCTTTTAGAAGTTCTGCTCCATTAGAAAAAGTGAAATGTTGAACAGTGCTTAAGTAAATAAATAGTAGATAGAAGCAAAAAGGTTGCACATAATTGTTCTAACTGTTTTCTTTAACAAGATGAGTGTAAGTGGAGGAGTATGTTAACTTCTTGGCTTGTGGGCTGCAGAGTTTGCAAAAGGCTCAAAGCTTCAGGAATTCTGTGGAGACAGACTCTTGCCTCTATCTATGACTTTCCAAGTTAACATCAGAAGTTGAACTACAACATTCTTACCTCAAATCATACCAGCCTATTATCTATAACACTGCTCCAGCAAATACTTTTATAATAACAGCACAAGGTAAAATCAAACAAAACCCCCCCACAACCCTTCCCATTATATACGTGATTTACTACATACACAAAGTATACAGAAGACAGGGTTTGGAAGGACTTTGCTTTATTTAGCTCTCACTTCTGGATGTGTTTTCTGAGCATGCGAGGGAGGACACAGCTGTCACCTGTTTAATTGCAGATCTTGTCCCTGATGGTGGCTGTGTCCAGGCAAAGATGAAAAACACCTTTCGTAATGAACCACTGGATAATTTGCTGCCTTCTTTGGTCCCACCTGCTTTTCTGTTAGGTGGAGACTGGTTTAAAACATGAGACCTGAGATGAAATAGCTTTCCTTTTTTAGTATTAACTATCATGATTTTGAAAATTCTTAAATCCATATAAATAATAAATTAAATCCTGTGATTGTGAATTGCACAACTAATTACAGATTACCATTCCCACTACTACTACCTGTATGCTTATTTTGAATTACCCACATTTAATGTCTTGGGACAACCCTTTATTTTAGTGTTATGAAAATGGAAAAATAGAAACTTTTCTCTTTACTACATGGTTAATTATAATATATGCTTTTATCATGAATTGTCTTCATTTAAGCCATTCTCAGAAAGCTGTTAAAAAATGAATAGGATCTATCAGTTTCTCCTTAGACGGTCTATTCATGTAAACGATGACTTCTCTAGTTTTTAAAGGTATATTTCAGAAAACTCAGATTATTACAGACTCATAAAATCAATGTGTGCATGTGACTGTGTGTGTGCATGTGAATGTGCAACTGTCTTTTTTTTTCAGAAATTAATTTATTTTATCTTGTTATTGGAGTAATAAAAAAATCATTTCTATGCATACAGTCATTTAAAAACAAACAAACAAAAAAAACCCAGTTCTGAATTCAGTCTTGGGAACTCTTTCCTCTTAATGCAACAGTTGAATTTTACATTTCCATCTCTATTTTATACTGAAATTACTTACATATCTACATTTAGTGGTAGTTCATGTACGAGAGTGTATAGCAAAATACAGTGTCTCCAACTGAATTACCATTTTGGTACAGTTAAACTCCGGGGTTATCTTAAAAAAAAATTTACTGATTTTTGTATAAATTGGGTAGGTGGATATGCTTTTTTGAATTCAGTTTATTCTAAATGGAATTTGATGGAAACTAAATTTTGGGTACATTAAGTAATATATTTTTAAATAATGGTGTACCATTTTGAGAATAAGAAACTGAAGATTATTGTTATATTATTCTTTAAAATATGCTGTTGGAATATATTTCTATATTTTGAGACCTAATAAACCTGTAATACTATTTTCTTCTGCTGTGATTTTGCTTCTGAGATATATGAAAAAATGTCACTGACTTAATATACTCTTTTACAGGTAAAAGCAAGTGATCACCACTAACTACAGGTAGATTTTGTTGCTGTTCATTTTTTAGTACAGGTATTTTGCAAAATTACTACTGTTACTTCTTAAACTGCAGCTGGGGAACCATTTACATTATTAGTAATAATCATGCCTTCAAATCATACCTTCAAATGCTAATACTCTACTCAAAATGTACTAGAAAGAAGAAATATTTTTTAAATTTCTCCATGAATCTCTAACTGATTATACCTCTGTTTGAAAGGAAGGAGAGTGGCACCGCTCCTCCTGCATGCTCTGGATAAGTGTATACACGTATTTTCATGTAAACTTGTTCAGGCAAGCCCTTCTCCAGTAGAACACTTTTTGTTCTTCTGCTTGGTCCCATCAAATATCTGTTATTTTATAGATATTTGTACATAATAGATACACATCTAACATATAATGTGCATGTAATTATATTAAATTAAATTATATTAAATCTTTACCCATATTTATAGCTCTATCTATCTCTACAGTTACACAGACCATTTCATTATCATTTAAGATACAAGAGCTTTGCTCTTTTTAAAGTTGTTTAAGCTTTCTGCATCCTTAACAACTGGAAAGAGTCTAAAGGGCCGAAAAACAGAAAAGCTCTGTGCAGAATTAATGTTACATTATGGGTCAGAGCTTCACAGTCTTTAACCTACTCATAACGTTAATAACACTGCTATGCATTCTGGGCCAAAATCTAGAGTTTTGAGGATGTTACTAGTGACCACTTCTGTGGCTAGGAGTATGCATTCAGTGGAAGTCAAGTGAATATAGGTGAATAGTATTGCAGCAGTGATTTGATTTCCCTTTAGAAGCACATTGTTCTCCAACTGTGATTTTGATGTAACAAGATGAGCTCTGACTGACTGAAGTGCGGAGCATTTGCAGGTTCTCTGATGTGCTAGGGTATGAACCTACATAACAGTCTTCTTCCTTCAGTTAGACCGCTTGGTGGCATCTGTCCCTTACATGGACTCACATTTCCACAAAGTATTTATCAGGTAAAGTTTTTCTGATTTTGGCCAAAGGTTTCAAATTCATTAATTAGGGGTAGGAGACCCTTGAGGGGAAAAACAAAAAAAAATTGCTTGGATGGCATTAGCCCTTTTTTTTGATATAGGATCAATTCATACAAAGGTGTCTGGTAGCTGACAAATTAGCAATACATCTGATGAGTACAAAACTCAGCTAGAGATATCTTGGACAGACATTGGCATGGATGTCTTCAAAGAAAAAAGGATGATCATTCCTTGTTTTGCTGCGTATCTGTCTGAAGGGTTGTCCTGACTGACATGTCCTTTACAACCCCATGAAACTACCTTCTGCAGTGGCCTGTTTAGGCTTTCAGGTAAATATGCATTTGTGTTGAGGGATTAGGTAGATAATATAAACAGAGCCATATGAGGAGCTCTGATATCTTCAGGAATAAGAATTCAGTCCTTTATAGCTGGACAGGAGAATGCAGCTGTTTATTTTGTACACTGGCACCTGTAGGACTACAGGGCAGTAGTTTCTGTATTATGGTAGGAGTCACTTATCAGTCAGTTTGGGGCCTCCTTTTCTTAAACAATATATACATGAGTGCTGAGAGTTATATTGATATTGCAGACACTACAGCTGAGTCTTTCTTTAGGGACAACATAGAGAAATTGCTTTTTTGGATTGCAGTTCACCTATTTCTCTCCAAATATTACAAAGCAGGTTTAGGACAATGGCTCTGCAATAAACCTTGTCTGAGCAACTGTAGTCAGTGACTGTGAAGAAGGGAGTGGGCTGACTCAGGAACCATGCCATAGGAGATAGAATCAGTCAGGCAATGAGTCCAATTATGTAGTAGTTTCCCAGAGAGAGGATCTTGCCCTGCTGTCCTAGGAACTCCACTTACTATGAAGAGTTGGGAAGCCCTTCCAATAGCCAGAACCCTCACACAATTCATGCACTGTGCAAGCAGACCACCCAACTGCACTGCAAGCAGAGTCAGCTCTTATAGAGGTGGCTTCTCGCCTCACCTCCAAGTTAATGTGGAAAGTGGGGGCACCTGGTGGTGATCTCCTAATCAGTTCCCACCCAAGGCTGGCCAGACCCTGGGTGAAAAGCAATCAGGAGGGTCTTTCTTGCCTGGTTATGGTCATCATCCATACGCCAACCCTCATTCAGTGCTGGGGGTTTTAACCCCAGCACTACAGTGACCAAACCTGACACCTTTAAAATGTTACGTTGCTAAAAAATCTTTACTCGGATATGAAGCTTTGAGAATTCTTTTGTTCTCATGATGGGAAGTCAGACACTTCCATTCAGAAATATAACTTTCTCTACCATTTACTTGGAAAAAGTTGGATTGATGACTGAGTACTTCTGGGTTTTTTTGTTAACTCCTCTTTTGGAATAGATTTGTGACACAAACTACACAAAGATGGTTAAAGAAATGGTTGAGGCTTGTACTCCTAAGATTCTGAATTGCTTCAATAACCAAAGGATTCTAATGCCCAGGACTTTAAAATTATGTTCTTTGCAATCTCTACCAACATTTCTGTTTGCACATTTAGCTGTGAAGAATCTGACATGTGGTGCCTGAATGACGAACAAGCCACATGTGAATTATACAGCATTATCTTTTACTATCTCATCTGTAGTCACAGAACTTGAAAACTGTGATTTACAATGTGTTACTGAATTCTTACTCACATGGCTTGAGCAAGAGCTTGATTAAAAACAAAAGAAAACAAAACTAAAAATCCAACAAAAACCAGCAAGCGGAGGTTTTCTTGCCATCTTAATTCAAATAAATCAGCACCAAACGTGGCACTTGAGGGATCGTGAATCTCATGTGAGTTAAATGGGCCTTTTGTATTCTGTTTTCCATATTTACAACATATGACACAGACTCTTCTCCTGACTGCCATATTTCTAGCTAAATACTTTCTGTTCTGTTCCTGCACTTTTTTTTCTTCCAGATGGGCACCATCAATTATTATTATTAATATGAATGAAGATATTTTCATTGCTTTAGCAGATGTTAGTCCTTTACAAAAGTATGTGTTACTAGTGTTGCTACTTTACAGGTACGGAAAAATATAGAAAGACTTTTCTAAGAGAAGAGCAGATGAGAGGCAGTATAGGCGACACAGACAGATCTCCAGTGTCCCAGTAGTCTAACTCCTACCCCACACTCTTGGTGGAGTGATGCATACACTTGTCACTCCTGCTCTTGCAGTTCATAACTTTAATGGATGGTAGGAAAACTT